TTCATTTGTATCTGTCTGCCCATGCAATAGAACACTTGGCAGTGGATATTTCTGAACAATTTTATTGTCACGTGTCTTAGTGTAGGACAACAAACATTTATTCTGAAATTCTTCTATAACTTTGCTGATAACATCTTTATCTCATATGGTAGGTCTTCATAAGGCACCATAAGAATGTTATTGTTGTTTTAAGTCGCCATGACGATTGTGGGGTCTCACCAGGCGTGCCAAAACGTGTGTCAACGCGAAAACATCGACACACAGCAAGTCAGAAGGATCTGCTTGACGGAGCAAGACTGGAGATCCGCTTGACTTCAACGCAGGACCAGTCGACCCTGCGAATTCCTTCCGAGGGCGTGCCAGTCAATTTGACCTGTAATTGACAAGGAGAAAAAGCTTATGAGTAATTTAAGATGGAACATGCCGGTTTTTGCCCAGACAATTCCAAGTATGCCGCTTCGGGAGCAGCCAGTGTTAGCCCACTAGATCATGGAGATATTCGACCACTCATTAATGTTGCCGAGCACGCGCTAGTGATGCCGACCACGAACCATCATTATTCTACCTCTAGTCATAGTGTATGGTCGGACAACGTTAGTCGTGGTCGACAAAGCTGGTGAGTGCTCGACGATCCAGTGGGCTAACAGCCAAACGAGAAAATCGATCAAATAAACCGATACAAGAAGAAAATCGGTTGTTAAGAACTGTAACGCTCGCGGGTTGTGATGGATTTTATAATGACAATTGCGACGTACCCAATTTTAATGATTCTTTCCCTTGAACTATTAACATATATGTGTCAGAGATGCATCACTGGCTAAATTAGATTTTGATCAATACGTAGTGTAGAGCCAATGAATTTAGTAAGAAAAAAGGATATGCCACGCACACAATCGACTGTTTGATATAGACGGACCCACGAACCGTCTAGACCTAATCCATTATCATCATCAGTGAGGTTCGGCCGGATCGATGCAGCTATGATGATAACAACAAACTAAATCCAGAGAATTTATAGAATTGATCATACTTCAATAGGTTCATGAGAGCGTGTCATATCTGTGAAAGCGCAGACGAATCGGCTAAAAGAGCCGATTCGGGTAGAAAAAATATCATAGCATGTGAACAATAGACTATTCAACATGAGCAGACCTATCAACTCCTCAAATCTAACATATCATATTTAACAGTGGGGTTCGACCGGAACGATGCAGCCATAATAAAGATAACAGATTATATCCTTAAAGAAAACGAATCTACTCATATTTAATAGGATCATAAAAACACACTATGAACATTAAAAAACGGGTGATCGGCTATTTAGCCGATGTAGGCATAGCAAACAGCTAGGGTCATGCCTGGTCGAAAGCAAACCTATCAACTAGCATCCTCCGATCTAGAGTACTAACAGTGGGGGTCGACCGGATTGATGTAGCCGTGATAGTGGGCTATAGACCAGATTAAACTAGCTAGTAAACCTCCTCAAGATCAGACATGTCTTGACCGCGTACTATGCATGATCAAGATCGAAGTAGAACAACGGATAAAACGTAACCCGTCGATTAAAGTAAGGACCGTTGCAATGTAACAAGACAAACGAGGGGTTAAAAGGATGTGGGGGCCAATCTAGACCGATCTCGACCGGGCAGGTTGATGTTGCTGTAAACTAATGACGATAAAAATATCAGCAAGATCGGTAACTTAATGAATCTACCGAAGGACGTCACCCTTAGATAGAGCCGATAACTTGACCTTAATCTAATTTGAGCAATGGAGGTCGACCGGATCGATGCAGCCGTACTTGAACTAGATAAAGATCGATAACTAGCTTATACTAGAGTTCACAGTAGAGGTCGAACTTAACCGATGTAGCCGTACAAACAGAAGCATAAGCCATGACGATACTTACAAGCAAGTCGGAGGTCGGCTAAACCGATGCAGCCCTGCTTGTTGAAGAACTCGCTGTAATCTACTCTACTCCTACTCCTAATGGTTGGCATGGAGCCGAAAAGAAAGTAACTTGTATTGATTGATTGGATGTCCTTTTTACAATAGCCGGGGTTCAATATTTATACCCGGAGCATAAGTATGAATCCTACTAAGTACAACTTATTATAATGTTTGGTATAAAAGAAAACATTCCTAACTTAAGATAACTTAGGGCCTGTTCGCTTGTCTGAATTTTAGAGGAATCTGGATGGTTTGGAGGAATGCTGCAGGAATTTGTGAGAGAAAAACACTGTTCCGGATGAAAAAATAAGCGGATCAAGCCAGGTTTAAGGGCACACGAACGGGGCCTTAGACTCTAATCTTTCTCTTTTTTAGAGTCCCATATGTATTTCCCGACGCCAACCGCAGCTATTTGTTGTTATCTGCTGACGTCATTTGAAGAGAGCCGATTCCAGTGTCGTATCTGAATCAGCCGATATCGATCCTTATACAATCGATTTCTTAATTGATATAATCTTGAAAGCTTCGAGTTCCCACATCCTTTTTCTCACATTTTGGTGTGAACAGGTTGTTCCGTGAAACGTCAGATGCGGACGTTAGCGGGTCTGTCACTCATTCAACCAGAAAAACGTGAACCCGCTTGAGCTACGAGCTCATCCCCCATCGAGAAGGTGCCAGTACTCAGCCTGTTCGGTTGGCTGGTTCGTATCGTTGCTGGTTCGTTTATGTAAGAGAGAAGTACTGCTGGCTGGCTCAGATGAACAGTGTTTTTTTGAGGGGACTGGCCAGCCCAGCGAACACGCTACTGCTTGCAACACCGGAGGTAGCCATATCGCGCCCCCTCCTCCCAGCCGCGTCGGGACTGCAGCCACTCGTGCTGGTGAAGCCGCCCTGCGCCGAGGTCCCAGCGAGCCCGTGCTGGAGAAGTCGAGTGCGCCTGGAAGCTGGCCGCGCACGTCCACTGGAGCCGAGGGTAGAACGCTCGTCCACCGGGGACGCCGTGGGAGAGGGGCCACCGCGCACGAGACCCCACACGCACCATGTGGCCGGAGCCACCGTGCCCACGCCCCTCGCTCGCTACGAGTTGCCCGTGGCCGCCTCACGCGCCAGGGTAACCGCGACCGCCGCGCCGTGCACTTGCGTCGGGGTGTCTGGGGTTGCCTTGCCCGTGCGCCTCCCCGACCTTGCCAGGGCCGTTGCCCGCTGGTGCCCCCTAACCGCGCGGGAACACCGCGCCCACGCTGGGCCGCCGCTGGAGACACTGCCGTGACAGGGAGAGAGAGCGTGAGGGAGAAAGAGAGCTGCGCCCCAGCTGAGTGCTCGATAAAATGCTTAAAAGGTCCGACTCATCCAGTCCAATGAACTTAATTTTTCTGATACAACAGTTGGTTCTTTAATTCATTACCATATAATAAATTCTCAGTCCATTGGCCAAAATGAAATTCCTCTTATCCTCAGCTTAAACATGTTAGTTGGCATCAATGAATTCTTGCTCTTTGCAATGACTTTAGCTTGATTTATACAGTTCAATTAGCTTCCTCGCAAATCTTCATTAAAAAAATCATACAATTTATTACAGATTATCATGGAATTCATAAGAATTCCATAAACTTTGTTGGGACCAGCACTTGGGAATCAACTGAAGATACTGAACCTATTGTTGATTGCTTCGGATGTCTTCCAATATTATAATAAAGCAATTTCTTATCAGCTGGATATTCTGAATTTCTATATGTCCAACTTCAATTTTATACTATGTGAAAGACAGGTATTATGATATTTAGACACTGCTTCTTTTTCCTTTGCTTCTTTCTTTGCAAAATTGCTTCATTTGCAAAAATTGGCTGTGATCCTGATCTGGTTCAGTGTAGCTTGCATGTTTAAATATGTGAATATTTTCATTTACCTCCATCATACAGTCATGGATTCTATGCATAAATGTTTGGTACCTTCCTTGTTTGCTGCATACACAAGAGTTTTTTATTCTTTTTTTAATGAGGATAGTTTCCATGTCCATATGCTTATGAGCTTTTTTTCACTTTGTACAATCACCGATAAAGCTGAAGCCAGGTATATGGTCATGGACGAGAAATACCATTTTTTAGATCAAGAACATTATATATGCTTTAGAAAAAGTAACTTGCCATTTTCCACACATTCAGTGAGTTGGCATCCATGAGTCCTCATGCTTTTCGTCCCTATATGAGTCGTACTGCACCTCAACACTACCACAATGCTTTTACAAAACTCATGTGAATCAAGGGGCTTTGGTGACTGAAAATGTGAAATAATAACATATCTCATTTTAGTCTCTTGGATTCTTATTATTGTGAAATACTGACAACTGTATTTACTGACGAGAACTATTAATGATATATAAATATTAAATTAATTTTGATATTCTTTTATTTTAGTTTAAACCTAATATATTTGTTGTTATAAATTATTTTAATACTTTAAGTTATTTTTTGTTGATGTAAATTATTTTATATAATTTATATTTTCATGACAAATATTATATAAATAATGATTGATTAATTGACACATGTTGGAGGATCCACGTCTAACGTACAGTCATCGTGCCACGTCGGCTTATAGAGGTTAGACCACATTTGGACCAGGATGATACTGCTTGTCAAGTTTAGAGATCTACGGTGATCATCTTGAAAGTTCGAGATCGGGATGACACCACCGGCTAAGTTTAGGGACCTACGGTGATCACCTTGAAAGTTAAGGACCTGAATGACACCGTCTACCAAGTTTATATAGACCTATAGATATCACTTTTAGTTTAGACCCGAATAACACCGCCGACAAGTTCAAGGACCGAATTTTGCTCTTTGGACGGCAATAGACGGCTTCGCGAGAATGGATTGATCGATCGAGCACATTATATTGAGTCCACCCCACGTACAACTAACGCATCCATCCATCAGGTCGACACACACAGACAGACAACCCGCCCGAATTCAGCATTCAGCAATATGCATGATCGATGCGGGCGTTGCACGTCTCGTCTAGCTCTTCGCGGCCTCCTCCTAATCCGTTAATTAGTTGGCGGGCGCTTCGCTCGCGACGGTGGCAGCGGTCTGTTCGTCGTCGGTGGTCTTCTCCTCCGCCGACGGCGCCGCTGGGACGACGGCCGCGTCCTCCGCCTTGTGCTCATCGACCGCCGGTTTGGCCTCCACGGGTACCGTGGTGTTCTGCATCTGCCCAGCTGATTCCCCTGCAAAATTAACCGCATACGTAACCAACATACACAGGCCGGGTCAGTTTCACTTTGTAATCAGAAATTGAAATGGTGCATGGACAAGGAAAATTCTTATCGATCTGGTCCGTAATAAATCGTACTCACCATCCTCATTTGTCGGAGCAGGCGACGTGGCCTTGTGCTCCTCCTCCTCTTCGACGTTTTTGCTCTCAACCGTCTTCTCCTCCCCGTCGTCTTTGAGTTTGAGTTCGAGTGGTGCTAACTCCTTGGCCTGTTCCTCAACCTCGGGGGCATCCTCCACAGGTGCCTCGTCGGCCATGGTGGATTCAGGAAGCAGATCCTCCTCCACCACTGGCTCAGCCGCCGCGGCTTCGATCGCCATGGTGGCGGCGGCAGGACTAGGAGCAGAAGCGACGTCGTCCTTATTGTCCACCATCGCCTCCTCTTTCTTGACCTCCACGACGACGGCAGCGGCAGCGACGGCAGGGGCAGGAATAGGAGCAGAAGCGATGTCGTCAGCGGCGACATCCTTATTAAGGACCACCACCTCCTCCTCCTCTTTCTTGGCCTCCACGGCGACGGCTGCAGCAGCGGGCTTCTCGAGGGACATCACCACGATGGTGTCTGCCTTCGAGTCGACAGAGAGAGGCTTCTCGGCGTCGTCGGCGGACGTCACCTCGCAGGCGGCGTCCGCCTTGGGCTCGCCGGCTGCTACCACCGCATCCTTCACGACGTCGTTGACGGCGACGCCGCCGGTGTTGCCGGAGGACGACGACGACGATGTGGAGGAGGTGTGGCTTGCGCCGGTGGAGACGACGGAGGACTTCCTCCGGAGGAGCTTGCTGCCGCCGCCGGCGCTGGTGTTGCCGGTGGCCACGGCCTCCTTGGAGCCACCGCAACCCATGGCCGGCCGGCGCTGGCGACGCCGACGCTGGCGCGACAGAGTAAGAGAGCGACAGAGCGAGAGAGAGAGATCGGTGGACAGGGAACGGACGGAAGAGAGGAATCGTCGCGTCGGGCGTGCTTGAAGGATCGGAGGCAAAGAGACGCCGCGGGGGCACGCCCGTTTTTATAGACAAGGACAAGGACGGAAGGACACGACCCGACGTGCTCGCACTTATGCAACGCGACTGCACGCTCGCATTCACATGCGTGGAAAAGTCAATGACCCTGACGAGTGGGCAAACACAACAAGGGGCATAAAAGTTTGGAAAGCCATGGATACGCAAGGTTGGCACTTGGCAAATTGTTGGTTGCCAACGCATCGTTCGTTGCATGACGTGCTGCCCAGTTTTCTCCCTCAGATACTCCGTCTGCCGGCGAGCCGGCCGCCGGCCGCCGGCCGCCGGAATGCAGTTTGTTTTGGTTTTGCCAGCCACTAACTCGTCGTTTGGTGGGCTTCATTTAGTCACCCGTGAACTTCGTCCGCCGGCAACAGGCCAGCCGATTTTGGAGCTACATATGTAGACAATGCCAATCTGTACCGCCATAGTAGCATCATAGGGAAGATTTTATACTAGTAAACAACAACCATTCGTCACCAAATCTTATCTTAAATGACCTAATTGACGAGGACCATAAAAACTCTTCATAGTTTCTGTTCGTATTGTGAAAAGAACAAGGGGAGGAGGTTCCTTCTCATTCAAGGATCAAGGATATGATCTCCTGGTTACTTGGCTTTCTCCTTGATCAAAGCATACATCAGCTCGCGAGCCTCATCCAGGTCTCGCTGGTAACTTCCCAGGAGCCTCGAATGATCTCCTCGTGTCGGCTCCTTGCTCAGACAAACCACTCTATAGCTTTATACCAAGTTAAAATTGCGCTGCTCTATTTCTATACACTCCAGTAATTATCACCCTAAGTCCTAAGATGCATGCAAGTTCATCTGACTAATGTGACAATCATGACGTGACAGTAGTTTCACTCTGACAAAGTAACCCAGGTTCAGGAACTCAGCGGCTCCAAGAGAGATCAGCAATGGCCGCCCAGGTGCTTCATCTAAAAATTCACCGTCCTCATAGGGGCAGAAGGTAACCGAGCGAAATGCCAACAACTGCCATGTAGATGACGAAAAGCAGGGGGAAACCGGTGCTCGACTGACTCCGTGCAGCGCTCGCCCTTTTCAAGAATACCTATTTAAGAGAACCATTTACAATCAGTTAGAGACGAACGCTGGAAACAGTACACTTGCAAAGAAAACAGTCCACAAGTGATAAGCTATTGTAGCATGCTACTGAGTACTGACTCGAGTTGTCAAACAATATACAGGAAGCAACCAGGGGTGGACTCCCAGCAGCTGTAGGAAGATGAGGGGAAGGAGCCCCTCCTAACATTTTTATGGATCCACCCCTATAAGTAACCAGAGATCATAAAGCCCAATAAAAGAAATTTAGATATGCATTTCAGACTCATGGTTGTGAACATTGATACGGTGATACTCCAAAAGCATATGGATACTTGGGGGGGGCAAAGTGTTTAAAGTTGTAAATTAGAAAATTAAAGAAACATTTAGCCTAATGCAAGAAAAAAACTATGTATGGGTATCAGTCAACCCTGCAGTTGAGAGCCTATTAGTCTGGTCAGATGCTACCCTTCACCATTCAATACATAGAACAAGGTGTTAACATGCCAAGAGTAGCCATTATTTGGGATTGTAAGTTGGGACCACTGTTCCAAGTTATTAGATGAGAGAAATGGGACTGAGGTTTGGTTGTTAAGAAGTTATTAGAATAAGAGTTGCTTTTATCTGGTGCAAACAGAACAACGTCCCAGCACGGTAAGTCGGCTCTCGGTCTCAGATATGGCAAGCTGGAAGACTAGTGCAGACTTGCTACATATCTTGTGGATCTATTTGACAGAATTCTGCCCCCAGTTGACTGTCACATAACTTCAAATGGGCATAGGGATGAAAAGCATGGCAGCTCTTCGCCAAATTCAAACACATGTGCTGTGCATGGAAAGCTTATATTTGTCGTTTAACAGCTTCAGTTATCATGAAAATGGACACATAATTAAGTTACTGCAAAATGGTTTATGAAGGTCTTTATCAACACAATAAAATTTTACCATCTCTTTCCGCAATTTATCCCGCTCTTGGATGGCAGTTCTGTTTGCTTCCCTCAATTTTACAATCAAAGTTTTAGCCTACAAAAGAGGATGATGCAACAATGTAGCATTTCAGAAAAGGAACATCTTAAGATATTCAAAATTCAAACGATCAAACACAAATATTTGGCACTATATATTTCTTACCTCTTCAAGTTTTACTTCAAGATTGTTAAGTTTCATCTGTAAATTTTGAACATCTTTGGTTACCTGCTAAAGGGGTAATATATAGAATTAAATACATCAGAAGTTAAGAACTGATGATTGGTAACCAAGTGCCTGTATTTAATGTTCATCACCAAGACAAACTGACAAAATATAGTAATGGATTGTTAATAAGCTAAACAGATGTAGCAGAACATGAACAATACTTGAAAAATAAGCCTACCTGAGGTATATGAACATTATCAGCATTGGTAGATTCTTTATCACTTAACGATGGAACTTCACTTGGAGCAGGAGTATATGCCAGCGGTGGAGATTCTTTCAGATCTACACTTGCTTCTGTTGAAGAAAACTGAGTTTCTATAGAGGCAACAGAGGTTTCTTGCAAATTGGAAGCAGATTCCGACAAAGTAAATGAAGCTTGTTTGGGTGGGACTAGAAAATCTTGCAGTATAGTAGGGCATTCGTTTACAGGTGAGGAATTTTCATTGAAAGTAGCAGTTCCACTTAAAGAAGGAAAGCTTGCTTTCAGAGAATTACGAACTTCGTTCACCACATTAGGTGCTTCATTCACATTATCTAGTGTCTGCTCTGTCACAGGAACCCCAGCTGTTTCCTTGGCATGTGGAACTCCATTGATGAGCTGCTCTACTTGAGGCTCTGTTATGCTGACAGTGACAACTTTCAACTTCTTCTCCTCAATATATTGACCAGTTTCTTTGGAGAACTACAATGAAGATTGAGTCAAAGTAAAATAGAGACAAAGATGCAAAGAAACATCACATAAGCTAGGCATAACTTGCTGCATATACTTACAAAAGCAGGAACAATGCCCTCATCAGCTGTACCAAACGGAACAACTGTGGTCTGAACAAGAAACTTGTCTTTTGATTGCAAATCAAGTGGAGCATTCTTTAGCGCTTGCATAGTAACTACATTTTATTTAAACAACAACATTAAATAAAATGACAAAAAAGGAAGTAAATTGCACTCTGAAGAAAAACAAAATCCACCATGGCATCTAGGAAACGATGCCATCTAGCTTCCACAATACTCTACAGCAATGAATTCTGAGTATGCCAAAGCACCAATTTCACCAGTAGCCAGTAAAGACAACGTTTACCTGTAAAATCACGTGATGCCAATGGAAGAATAACTCCTACATTTGGTTGAACACAATATTTTTTTGGATAAGTTGTTTTAACCTGTTACATATTCAAATATCCAAGTCACCAGAACAGAAATTGGTATAAATGCGAATGTATGAAAACATTAGGCCTTAGATTGTTTCATCCAAAGAAAAAATAGATAGCATAGTGTGCATCAAATGATCATTGATCAAACATTACCCTATAACAACAGTATGAGAAAAATCTTAACTCCATAGCACAAAATAACCATAATACATAACATAAGATTGGAGACCAACCTTGAATGCGACATATTGATCTGACTTATTAACAAGATGGATACAACATGAACTCTGCTTCTTCACCTCAACTGATAATAAGTGAAAGTCAGATAAATATTCATTTACAGGTGGTAGAATAAATAATAATATGAAATTACGATCTTAGACTATACTGCCTCCATCCCAGTATATAAGGCGTAATCACCTTCCGTTCAAAGACCAAGAACGCATTTAATTCTCTCTCTCAACACTGCATCGATGTATGTGTGTTTAGAGAGAGCACGCCTTATATTATGGGACATGAATAAAAAGTGGTTACGCCTTATATATTGGGACGGAGGGAGTAATAAAAAACCCTAGTTAACATTCACTAACCTACAGATGGTAGAATCGATAACAATAGAAAATTATGATGATAGACTATATGATATCCTAGTTAACATTAACAAACCTCTGAAGAATAGCATGTTATTCATAAAAAAGGAAAGAATAGCATGTTAACAGAAAATTACTAAACAGTCATGAAAACTGGAGCTTATGACTTACTATGCTAACTCCAGCTTCATTCAATTTACCAATCTAAGATACTGATTTTGGTATTATTCAAATCTTATGGAAACACATATGATATTCTTTGATCAAATAATTTGCTTCACAGGCGGATAAGAGTAAATCAGCATGATTTGTCAAGAGCGGACCAAAATCATTTGACAGTATTTAGACTATGAGTAGCTTCAGATCATACAAAATCGCAAAACCAACCAACCAGGGTTACAGTACAGTTTTACTGTGATGGTTGGTCATTGTGACAATTTTCAACCTAAATAATTAAAAGCCCATACTAATAGTATCACTGCAGATACCAGTACACAATAGCAAAACTGTTCAACATATGCAACCATAGCTGGAGATAACAGTTTCACTGTAACCAATAACCAACTCCTTCACTCCTGTTTCTGTAAGCAAGGATAATACGTGGCAATAGTACATTGATTATGAGAGTACAGAGTACGTGATTGTATAGGCAAGGATGCTCTAGGGTTTTTGTTTATAGAAATGGCACCGACCAGGTAGATCCTTACCTACGCAGCTATGCCTATTAGTAAAAACCAATATATATATGCAGCATGGGCCTATGGCTGGCGCATGGTCGATGGCCCAACCGGATTAGTCATCTAACAGTTTCATTGTCAATTCACTTTTGGCAACTCAGTATGTTGCCACAGTACATAACCAAAATTTACTCTAGAATCTCGATCTCCAGTTTAAACAGATTCCAATTATTCTATTTCTCAATTTTGGTCATAAGAATCCCCACAGTTCCTGTTCAGCTTCATAATGCATATGAAACTTTTTGTTTCTTTAGCTAAGCTCATCCAATTGTATTCCAATACAAGACTACCACCAGCCTTTAGCTCTTGTCCTAACTACCTGTCCACCTAAGTGACTGGTGAGACAGGAAGTCCAAATAGGTTCCAGCTCTCACACTTGAATCATAAGCATAAAGGATTGTTCGGGATGGCTTAATAGGAACCAGAGATCTAGAGTCTAGAATTCTCTACAGATATGAACACCAAAAAAATCATTCCACTAAAAATAAAGTTAATCAATTTCTTAGCCATGAATGCATAAATCAATTACGCAGAATATCTTATTGTCTTGCATGATCAATACACAATGAATAATACACCCCATCTAGCACAAAGGAGAAAATAAACAAGTTTGCTCCATTACTACCACTGGTCCCAACTACCCTACAATTAAGTACAGTGTGATTGTGTTATGGATGGCGTTGGGGTTGTTGGGATCGAGAGGAGCGAGTTGAGGGAAGTGGCGGCGATGGTCCCAACTACCCTACAATTAAGTACTGTTCACGTGGTGGTGGCGGTGGCGGTGGCTAGGGCTAGGGGTGCTGGGGGAGGCCGGCCGCGGGGCTTCGCCCACGGCCGGCAAGAGAGAAGGGATTTCCTTCTAATCTCTTGCTTGATTCTAGATTGATAATCTCCTCTCATTATATAGAGAGGTCTGACTTGGCCCCTAAGCAAGCGACTAATTAACCCTAATGGGCTAAGGCCCAATAGGCCCTTGACTCCTCTAACACACCCCACCTGGACATGCAGCTCGTCCTCGAGCTGCAATCTAACGATGACACTAACGATGCCTCCACTAGACACAAACCTAACACCTAAAAATAAACCTTTTACATCTCGGCTTATTTTATTTACCTGAAGAAGACTACGACTCTTTATTTTTTACTCCTGAAGATATGGCGGGCACCCTCCCCTTGCTGGACCAGCACGTGTGTAGCCACCTGGATCCCATGGAGACCATCGGAACGAGAGGGGCACGAGTATGGCCACCTAGAATTAGTGGCAACAGCAACCAGCGGAGACGTGCTCGTGGCGGACGGTGGCGGAATGCGATGGCGCTAGGCAGTGCGTCCCCGCCGGTGACAAGGAGGAAAGCTGCTCCCATATCGCCGGTGCCGCAGAGTTGGAGTTCGCCGCCCATGGAAAAAACACCATGCTTGCGCCTGAAGACAACAGCAGGTCGGCGCGGTTGCTGGTGGCCGTCCGACCAGGCGAGGTCGACTGACCATGCTAGGTTATGCTCCCCTATGCTGAGGTCGACCGCCGCCAAGGTCGCCTCGTGCATAGGTGAGCGCATCTTCTGCAGCCGCCGGCGCGCTAGGAGGCCACGCGCCGCAGCCTGCAGCCGCACCGCCGCAAACACCTTGCAGGCACTTGCCCACGCAATCGCCTTCCTCTCCGTGAGCTGCAAGGTTGCTGCTGTAGGGACGACTGGACGCCGCCGCATGAAGATGGGGTGTTGTCGTCCCTGCTAGCGCGCTAGGAGGCAATGCGCCACCGCTTCAACACTGCGCCGATGCCGATGCTCGATGCCATCCACGCCCGTAGAAGACAACATTGCTGTCTGCTGTGGCGGCACGGGTTTGGGGTGGTGAACGACGGATCGATGAAGGAGAGGTGGAAGCGGCGCTGGGGATAACCGCTTCTCCTCGGCGGTCAAGAGTCCGTTGGACGATTCTGCGCCACCGACCGATTATGGGGAAAGGGCCGAAGCGCCGAACTTCGCATCACGAGACTCGCGGTCCTTGCGATCCCAAAAAGAAACGCATGAATCCCGGCCACCATCTTGCCGAGGTCGAGCACCGCGGCCGTCAATTATGCGTTCGACATGACGCCCATGGCGTAAGGAGACGCCCCCGCGGCCAACGGCAGCGAGGTCTCGGGGACGAGCGGCAGGGTTCCCGCAGGCAGAACCGGCCGGGATGTCTGCGGAACAGGCATTTGCGCGGAGGCGTTGGTGGCCGGCGGTGGCGTGGTGGAGGTGGGCAGCGAGGTCGACATCGGAACCAAGAACGCTGATACCAGATTGTTATGGATGGCTGCTAGGATTGAGAGGGAGAGAGCCGAGGGAGAGGCGGTGGCGGGTTAGAAGGAAATCCCTTCTCTCTTGCCGGCCGTGGGCGAAGCCCCGCGGCCGGCCTCCCCCAGCGCCCTTGCAGCCCTAGCCGCCGCCGCTGTGAACAGTACCCGCTGTACTGTAGCGCGGGGGTACTGTAGCCCGCCCGCCGCCGCCTCTCCCTCGGCTCTCTCCTTCTCAATCCTAGTAGCCATCCATAACAATCTGGTACCCTGGGAGCCGGGAGTTCTAGCCGCCTCTACTGTTCACGCGTGAACAGTGCCGCCGTTCTAGGGCTACAGCCGCCGCCGCTCCCTCGCTGCAGCCACGGCACCACCTCGCCGCCGGTCGACGTTCAAGTCTCGCCCTCCGATCGTTCACTCCTACAACCTCAGATCGGTACGAGGGAGAGCGCAGCAGCATAACAGATTGAATACAGCAGTCTAATAGAGTCCTACTAGCCTCTTTCAACACACCTAACATCATGTTCTGCTATTATTGTTCCCAATCACAAGAAAGTGGTGAATTTACATCAGATTAACCTACTTATCGAATGAACATATGTGACAAGTGGCACATGCCTGCCCATTAAAATACAAAATTACTCGCAGCAAAAGAACGACCTATTCCAATATCACATCATATCCAACCACCAGCACCAAACCACAAGAAAGGATCCATTCTCTTAACTAGCAAGTATACAAATTCTTGTATAGAAAAAAAAAAGACTAGTAAGTCCATCGTAGGTACCATGTTAGAAAATGTTAATGCCCAGTAAGTCCCCAAATTTTGTATGTGTTCTCATGGGGGTTGGGTTAGGACATGCTTAAATGGATCATGAACAATCAGTAACTCCCATGTTACACAAGTATAAAAACTACAAAACAAAATTTCAAGTTAAAAAATTGTCTTATTTGCATGGTACAAACAATGCAAACTATATTCTGGTTAAACCTCCAAAACGGCGGATGAAACATACTATTCCAACAACTAATGAAGAAATATAGATTCTATGATTCCTCGAACCTTTGAAAGGCAGATTGTAGTTTGTTACCAACCATGCACGGAACACCTTACCAGCATGTTCCCGTTTAATCCCCTGTCAACACAAGGTAATTTGTTCACATTGGATAAAAGTGTAGGATTTTGTTTTGTCAAATGCATGGTCACTGACTCTTAAGTGCCTTGCACAACCACAGGCACAACCTGCTTCTGTGTAGTATAATTACAGAAACAAACTCAGATCAGTCCTATTTTTACAAAGGTCCCTGGACCAAAGCTACATCATACAGAACAAGTAAGGTTGTTTGTTAGCTCGCTCAATCTCCTTTGTCACTTGAAACAAACTGGCCGTGTTTCACCTAACACCTCTCTCTGCATCCTTATGCATATAACACGCACTCTGCACTATCTGTGACATTACCATGTTTTGTTCACTCTATTTCCGCATCATCACAAGCGGCAAGCAAACAGTCAGGGAATCCAGAATGTCACTGCTACAACCACTTCACCAAATGTGCATATACAGCAAGAAGATATGTCACATTCCCTCACGCCAAACTTCAGAGCCATTGACAGAAGGACAGCACAGGAACTAATACTTGTTGACACCCCAACCACTAAACCACCTATTAGCACTAGCGCACTTGTTGACTGGAGAACAGATGGATCCGACTGAAAGTACAAATCATGTTATGAAAGTGCTAATGCCACGGTTGGTACAAACAATCGCAGGTAATAAGATTATCTTGACTGTCGTACATTCTAAGGTGCAAATTAGAAATCGAAGCATGGATAGTTAAACCCTGGCGCAAACACGCTGACCCACCCGTCCCGTCAAAAACCCAATCTGACCCAAGCATTGCAGCATCATGAGAAATCAACCGAAAACTTACGCGCCAGCGGATAATCACAGACCCGCCCATGATCAGAGGCCAATGCATCAGGCAAATCAACCCGCCAGGCCAGGGATGGATCGTGGCGACTGAATCACCGAACTCGAGCCCTCCATTGGGCTGAAAAGGAGGGGGAGGGATCAGGGAACGAGAAGGGGGCACGTACCGAGGAAGCGGAGCTCGCGGGGGTGGATCTCGACGAGCACGTCCTCGCTGCCCATCGCCGCCTCCCCGGCCGCGCTGGCTAGAGAGTAGAGAGGACGGACGCAGAGAGATCGAAGCAGCTGCTCTGCCTCTGCGTGCGGGCGCGTGTCGTGCCCCTCGGAGCGGAGCGGAGAAAAGGGTGGACTGGGCGCGGACGGGGATGCCACTCCGCCGCCTTCCACAACTCCAAGTCCCCGTCAGCCTCGCCGAGACGCCCGACTGTTTCGGCCGCCGAAATGCAGGCCAGTGCGAGTGCGGTCCTCGTCCGTTTCGAGAAGTGAAAGGGCTTCCACTAACCGTTGTGAATGAATTCACTGGAAGCCAAACCAAATGATGCCATTCATATATGGGCCTCTCTCGGGCTACGTTTATGGGCCCTGGGCCACCATTTGGGAGTCAATTCCTTTGGCTGGCCCGGCCCTACGCCGACGGTCGACGCCCTTATATAACTCCCCGAACCCTAGAGGCCAGCTCCATAATCCATTACCACCAGGCAGCCGTCACCTTGCGGTTCTGCGCCTCCAGTCAAGCTCTTGCTAAGGTATCGTTTCTTCTCGGCAAATCCTCCCTCGCTCGACCTCTTTTCTTAGCTGCTTGATGCGATAGCGACTGGATCAAGGTTGTGCTCTGGCGCCTCCCCGTGCCTGTGGTGATTCGTGCCTCTGTTTGCGATTAATGGTAGCTACTGCGCCTCCACTCCCTTAGGGTTTGGGGGTTTGGTTTGATTTCGTGTTTCGATGACCTGATTCATACGGGATTCGATGAATTACTTACATAGCGTCGTTGGACGACTTACTGATTGTGCTCGTGGTCGTGTTACCTGGTCTTTTTTTTTGAGGCGCAGAGTTGCTGTAGTTTTGCAGATTTTTGCTCTGTATCCTCTTTGTAGTTCATCTGCAGCAAAAGTGCACCCTCATCGTATGAGCAAATTTCGGACCTGTAGTTCACCTTAGGGTTTGTGGTTTTTTCCTTCATGTTTCGCTGACCTGATTGTTAAGGATAGCTTCTTCTGAATCCGATGAATTACTTACATACTGCTGGATGACTTAATGATTGTGCTCGTGGTCGTGTTACCTTGTCTTAATAAAGTGTCGGATCGAACTTTTTGAGGTCCAGAGCTCCTGTAGTTTCTTTGTTTTGCAGATACTTTTTTACTGTATTTGTCTTTGTAGTTCATGTACCGTAATAGTTGCAACCTCATCGTATGAGTAAATTTCTGATCTGGTTCATGAAGTAGTTTGAGATTCCAATTTTGAAGTCTTACTGGATCAAAATTCTGTGCGCACACTTATTAGTTTCCTCTTTTTTTTCTCGGGCAGCTCTGTTCTTTTTATATTATATATTGTTTGCTCTGTTTAGATCTAGTTTCTGATCCCATCTCATAAATTCTTTTGTTAGTGGCTTTGATGTTTACTAGTGTTTCTAATAATTGATTCATCTTGTGTAACAGTTTAAGCTTCACCTCCAGCCATGGGTAAGGAGAAGTCCCACATCAACATTGTGGTCATTGGCCACGTCGACTCTGGCAAGTCGACCACCACTGGCCACCTGATCTACAAGCTTGGAGGCATTGACAAGCGTGTGATCGAGAGATTCGAGAAGGAGGCTGCTGAAATGAACAAGCGGTCCTTCAAGTACGCGTGGGTGCTGGACAAGCTCAAGGCTGAGCGTGAGAGAGGTATCACCATTGATATCGCTCTGTGGAAGTTCGAGACCACCAAGTACTACTGCACTGTCATTGATGCCCCTGGACACCGTGACTTCATCAAGAATATGATCACTGGTACCTCCCAGGCTGACTGTGCAGTCCTCATCATTGACTCCACCACTGGTGGTTTTGAGGCTGGTATCTCCAAGGATGGCCAGACCCGTGAGCATGCTCTCCTTGCTTTCACCCTTGGTGTGAAGCAGATGATTTGCTGCTGCAACAAGGTATAATAAGGAATTTCTGTTTCTCTCCTGTTCATTAGTTGATACACAGTATTAGACTATGTGAGCTGTATACAGAATTTGATGCTAGTACTAGTATTGTATTGGTTATTCATGTCTAGTAGTTAATCTTTGGTTTGCTAGTCACATCTGTTGCAGAAAGATTCTCTCAATAACTCTGATATGAGTTTCTCATTCAATTGCTTCAAGTAATGTTTAGAGGTTATTGGAATACTTTTAGAATTTTATGTGCTTCAATTACTAGAATTTTATGTGCTTGATTGTTGTGGCACTTAATTGTCTTCGTATGATTGGTATGGTTACTTAATGTGCTGCTCTAACAGTTCAGTAGTAGGATGCATTGACATATACCTGTTAGCTCTGTTTTTTGTACTCTCTTTGTATTTGTTGTTACAACCTGGACTTGCTATGTTGGTTACGTTTATGAATTATGATATATGATGATCTACCTATTTACGTGTTTATTATTACTGCTGTGGTGGCACTGTAAACAAGTTTATTCCAGAAACGAGTGTCATGTACCAGTTAATTTTGATTGATGTCTTCTTGCATACATACATTTTGCTTGCTGTTTATGTGATCTGTCCTTTAAGCTAATGATGATGTTGTATTCCAAACATATACTGTTTAATAGCTCTGGAGAATCAAACTAATGGTAATCATATGTTCCGTTGCTGTTGTATTTTTAGATGGATGCGACCACTCCCAAGTACTCCAAGGCCCGTTATGATGAGATTGTTAAGGAAGTCTCATCCTACCTCAAGAAGGTTGGATACAACCCGGACAAGATTGCTTTCGTCCCAATCTCTGGTTTTGAGGGTGACAACATGATTGAGAGGTCCACCAACCTTGACTGGTACAAGGGCCCAACCCTGCTTGAGGCTCTTGACCAGATCACTGAGCCCAAGAGGCCTTCGGACAAGCCCCTGCGTCTGCCCCTCCAGGATGTGTACAAGATTGGTGGTATTGGAACTGTCCCGGTTGGTCGTGTGGAGACTGGTGTCATCAAGCCTGGGATGGTTGTCACCTTCGGTCCAACTGGCCTGACCACTGAGGTGAAGTCTGTTGAGATGCACCACGAGGCTCTCCAGGAGGCCCTTCCTGGTGACAATGTTGGCTTCAACGTGAAGAACGTGGCTGTGAAGGATCTCAAGCGTGGGTTTGTGGCCTCCAACTCCAAGGATGACCCTGCCAAGGAGGCTGCCAGCTTCACCTCCCAGGTCATCATCATGAACCACCCTGGGCAGATCGGCAACGGCTATGCCCCAGTGCTGGACTGCCACACATCCCACATCGCTGTCAAGTTTGCTGAGCTCATTACCAAGATCGACAGGCGGTCTGGCAAGGAGCTTGAGAAGGAGCCCAAGTTCCTGAAGAACGGTGACGCTGGTATGGTGAAGATGATTCCCACCAAACCCATGGTGGTGGAGACATTCTCCGAGTATCCTCCCCTGGGTAGGTTTGCTGTCCGCGACATGAGGCAGACAGTTGCTGTTGGAGTCATCAAGAGCGTGGAGAAGAAGGATCCTACTGGTGCCAAGGTGACCAAGGCTGCTGCCAAGAAGAAATGATGCCCCTGCCACTTTGTGGTCAATTCTGTGTCGTCTTTTGGGATACCTAGATGCTTTATTACCATGGCTTAAATTTTGTCAATGGTCTTACAGCAATGTGCCTTCGGTTGTGGTTCTTGTCATGTTTCATTATGTCTTATGCAAAACTTGGAATGCTCGTCGACTGATTTGAGCCCTTGTTGATGATATGGAATGATGGGTCTTTAAAAGTTTAAATTGCTCGAAGTATTAGCCTTGTTTTCTTATTGTTCCTCTGTTGATGTTTTATGTTTTTGTTTCATTTAGCAATTTGGACTGACCCAAGTGCCGTATTGATATTGCTACATCAATAAAACCAATATATATCTTTTAGTTTGAGGCAACGTTACCTAAATTCGACTCATCGTGGTTCCAATACCCATCCCAATAAAACCAAATAAGAATAAAAGTCCCACTGCTCTCTGTCCATCAATCTCCCTCTCACTTCAGTCTCCACCGATCTGAAACTGCTTTCCACTAATCTGAAACTGATCCCATCATGTTGATTTCATTAATCAACTATCCATCCCTTTCCCTTTCATATATCAATTCATCGTTCCATTGGAACTAGCCTATTTAAAAGTCCACATCGATCGCATCATCTTTGCTCCAGAGTCCCCCTACTTCTCTCCCACTGGATTAGTTGATGGGCCCTTAGTTGATTGGACTCTTGGTGGTGTTGTGCAATGCAACAGTCGTCCAAACCTTCGACCAGTGGCTCACCTGCAATTCGCCTGTTACACCACGCCTTGGCCTCCATCAGATAAGATCCTGTTTCTTTCCACTTTGATTTCGTACAGGGAACTGCCACTATCTAGCAACGCAGAATATAATACAATGCTGAGTAATACAGAAGCATGCTTTCTCATTGTTTTATTTTGCTATCATTCAGGGATGATACTCTACAACCTTTTCATGCAACAGGAACACATAGTTCTCCTCTCCTTCACCCCCTTCAGCCCTTCTCAAGGAGAATTGATTACATATAGATATAATAGATACGTCGATATTATATTCAAGTAGAAAATTACATCCACATGTAGAAAACTACAGCATCAACTCCACATGTAGATATGTTTTTGTTGTGTAACTATTTCTCCTCATAGAACTGTACAACTAAGCAACTATCTATAGTCACCTTCAAATTACCACAGCAACGCACGAGGTATGATCTAGTTCATTTAACGAGCCGAGCTAGCTTATTATCCTAACGGGCTATAACGAGACAAGCCATAACTAGCCGACGTGGCTTGTTATCCAACCCTAAACTCACCGTCGTGTACGCCCTAACAGGTCCCTCTCGGATTAGAGTTTGGATGGTTCCTTTACTAGTTTACCCCTTCTATGCCACGCAAGCATGGTAGGTACCATTTGCTAGTTTGCTCATAAACCTAACCATTCTCCACCACGTAAGCATGTTAGTTACTCTTTTTCCAGACAAAACCCAGGAAAACCGTCCAGCCCAATTCCTAAAACTA